ATGTTTAATTTCAGCGCACGTGACGTCTGCCCGGCAATTGCATTCTGTGGTTGTTTTTTGCCTTCGACGTGTAAGTTTGCGACCTTCGAATCAACTTCTACCAGGTGTTGGTGGAGTGTGGAATGAACGGACTCGGTATGGAACTCGAGTAATTCGTGAAACTTTACCATCTGTGCATCGATATTGGATTGAAGGGCGCTCATAAGCTCAGTTGTGTCCATGATGAAAGCACAAATGATACACTCTGCTGCAGAATGCTCAAAGGTTTTAACACTCTTCGAGTGAGTGTCCACTCCTAAGAAAATTAAGGGAAAGAGAATAATAGAATTTGGGGGAAAAAGGATCTTGAAAACTTTTATTCGGTTCTGTTTTGATTACATTATAGTTATTAAAAGGAATTGGGTGCTAACAATCAAGCAAAAATTAGGGAAATAAAACAGGAATTAAACTAATAATTTGCAGCAGAAATTTCAGGAATTAATTTGAGCATATCAGGATCTTCTAATTTTGTCCGCAGACATAATTTGAGCATATCAGGATCTTCTAATTTTGTCCGCAGACATAATCAGTCATCCACGCTGGCTTCTTTCTTGTTCGTTTCCTTATTATTGGGTTATCCTTCCTTATTGGATCTGGGTCCACTGGTTGGTTTGTATCAGGATCCAATTCTCCAAAGAAGTTCATTATTATTTGGATGACATTTCAAACATATACTAGAGTCTTCTTAACTCTGGAAAAATAACTAATCGAATGTTTGTAAGTGAGAAGGATGGCATCCAATGACAAGTTTTAAGGTTGAACATAGATTAATTAATTTTACATCAAATAAATGTAATTTGTAAAAATATGATATATGTTAATAAAATATTATATTTAACAATAATAATTAATATTATGGAAAGTAGTTTCTATTTTAATTTTTTATGAATATTTAGTATTAACAATATCATGTTTAATGGTAGTTTATTATAATTATATTTTTAAAATTAATAATGAAAGAATATAAAAATGTTTTTCTTATTTTTAATATGCTTAGATATACATTAGTGGAAATAAATATGAAATTAAGTAAAAATAAATAGTTGTATTTGATTGAAAAAATAAAGAGCAAAGAAATAAATAAGTAATAGTGGATTTCATCATTTTAAAAAAATATCTTTTTCATAATTTCTTCAAAACTATTTTTCTTCTTTTCTTCTACCACCAAATACCTAATCTTTCCTATTGAAGCAAGGACTAGACCAATTTAAGTTAGATACGATGGTTCTTTCAGTAACATGAAAAAAAAAGTGAAGAATCAATTCAAATCTAGAGACTGAAAAACCAATAGTTAACATATAACAAATAGTTGATATTTATATGTAAAATATATTATTTGATCTCATAATGAATCACAAACTAGTGTGATAATCATTTATTTCATCACATTTCATATCACGTCAAGCGTCAATTTCAACTTAGTTGTAAAACATGTCACATCCAACAAACACTGCACAAAGATTTATGTATTGAATTAAAACTAAAATATTTACACCTTTCACAAACTAAAATTAAAATTAAGTTCTTGTCTTCTAACCGCCTAAGTTATCTCACAACAAGGTACTAAGATGTGACTAGGTAAATTCTTCAAACTATCTATTACCAGTTCTTACACATTTCTTATTACTTAAAAGATCTTGGAGCTGCTACATTTGATGAGTTGAATTATTCTTTGGAGTTTCTTAAATATTGAAGATTTAAACATGGTATGTAATGTGGTTGTACATAAGTTCCTCTTTAATTGTTTGATATTTAATTACTATTAGAAAATTCTTTGAAAATGTTGTAGAATTTATTTTGGTAATAGAAAGTTTGTAATATGTTAAAATAATTTTTTAATAAATTAAAATTTATCTGATCCTTAAGAAAAGATTTGAATCGTTCTTTTTACAGGTTAAAATAGTTTTAATATATTAAAATTTGTTGGACTTTAATAAAGATTTTTGAACTCTGTTTTAATTGATTAAATAGTTTTTAATATTAAAACTTTTCCGTATGTTTTAGTCTATTAAAATCGATTAATTTTATAAATAAGTGAAATTAACGTATTAAAATGTAGTTTTAATTTATTAAAATCTATATAACTACCTAATTTCTAATATTTTAAAACACAAAATTTGAACCAAAGTTCGTGTATTATTTTCGATATCGAGAAAAGGTTGTTATCATATGGAAAACTATTCTTAGAGCTTTTTAGATGATTACAAATTGGAATAAAAGAGAAACATAGTCTTATACTAGACTTTTAATTATTTTTGTTGTACTTGTTTTTTAAGGTGGAATTATTCTTTCACACAATTATTTTAAGTATTTTTTAGAAAATTTAAGATAGTTTAATCATAGACCACCTATGTTTGGAAGAGTTAACTAAAATACAAAATACAATTCTTATGATTTTTTAACTAAAGTGCCAACTCACTATATTATTTCATTCAAATTTATGTTATTTCATAACCTACTCACATAAAATCTAATTAATAAATTAAAAATAATTAAAATTTAGACTAGCAGCCATACATCTTTATCGGACAATTCTAACAAGAATGATCCAAACCCTTGCATTTGATTGAGCTAAAATGAATATAGAACAGTTAACTTGTTTTATTTATAATTTTTAAACTGAATTAGTTAAAATGATATTCTTTATTTAATTAAATTATTTATAAACTTAAAAGAAATATTTGTTTCTTCTTCTATTATTCTCTTATCTTAATCCTTGTATTTATCACTAAATCATTTTGAAGAAGAAAAAGTAAATGATAATATTCTTTTTAGTATTTAACCTATTATTTATCAATAAATTACTCTTTAAGAAAAATTTAAAAATACTCATATACTTAATTTTTTTTTAAATTTAACCGTTAACAATAAATTAATATTCTAAACCGACTTTTAAGACGGTTACTTTTGTATTTTCTAATAACTCCTATTTTAAAACTATTTCTAAAATGATCATTTAAAGAAATGTTTTCTATAAATACTTCCAAAAAAATGATATACTGTGTATGCTGTTATTAATAATCTAAAATAATTATTAACAATTAAAAAAAAAAACTAAAAATTATATACGGTTTTCGAATTCTGAGTACGAGAGAGTTTCATTTTTTTTTCAGTTAATTAATTAAAACTATATTTTTTATCTGATAATATGTTTATAATTTTTAAATACTTCTAGAAAGAACCGTCGGGTAATTTTTTTTAAAATTATCTATTAAATTAAAAGTATAAAATGTATATCTTACATAATTTATAATATTATCAATGTATTCCTAATTTAAATTTTAATTAAAAATAAATATTTCATTTGAATTTAAAATATATTTACCAGTTTTGCTTTTATGATGTAATACGATATTTAAGGTTTTAACATTTACCCTTAAATTAATATTCTAAAATCATTTTTAAAACTCTTTATTTTATTTTTTTTAATTACAATTAAAAAAATTCATATTTTCAAAACTCTCATTCTTAATTACGTTAAAAAAGATTTTTTTATCTTATTTTAAATAAATTATTTTAATTTTTATCAAATAAAAATAATTTAATTGTTTAACAAAATATGAATTAATAACCAGACAACTTTTCTAATAAAAAACAATCCTATAACATTTTTTTAATGTAATTTCTCAAAATCAAACTTTCTTCTCTTAACTTTGTTATTAACATGGCACAATATTAAATTATGTTAATAATATATAAAATAATATTTTATTTTTAATATTTATTTCTATGTATATAATACATTACACGTTACTATTTCAATGTAATAAACAATATCATATAAAAAAATTATATGTACTTATTATCAAAAATAAAATTAATATAAATATTAGATTTTAAATTATACTATGATAAAAAAAATGCTATAAAAAACTACATAAATATATATATATATATATATATATAATTAATTAAAACTGATATTAATATAAATATTAAATTTAATTTGTAATGTGATAAACAATATACTGTAGTCCTCGTTCTAATATATACAAAAGATAAAAACTACATTATATATTGTTATTAATTATTAATGTGAGAAAATTGAAAAAATAAAAGCATTCTTTAAATTTTTTAACTTATTAATTAAATTTATTCCTCTTGTATTTTCTATCTATTAAACATATTTATAGTATTTTATTACTTTTAAAAAGAATGTATACTTAAAAATAATTTTTTTAATATTTTTTTAAGCATTAATCTATTAAATTAAATATAAAAAATTATATATTACATAATTTATAATATTATCAATTTATTTTTACTTTAATTTCTATTTAAAATTAACTATTTTTTAATTTAAAATATATAGTAAATTAAATTCTATTGGTTTTGTAAATAAAGTTTATTATATTTTAAAATTAAATTAAATAAAAAAAATATATTAAGACATAAATACTTAATAAAATAGATTGAATTAATATTTTAATTTTAACACAGTGAAATCATTTATTTATTGATACCATTCATTACTAACATTTCTAGAACTATAAATAAAAATGACCAATAGTATATTAAAACGATAGTAACATTTATTTATTTATTATTATCCAAAAAGAATGTGGGAAAGAAACTTACAAGCAGAAGCATATACCAAAATGTAAAGTCATGTTTGGCCAGAGAAGCAGAGATCCAAACACAACTTACGCACACAGTGACGTGGAAGTCAACTAGTACGAAATTCGGGGATGGTTAACATGATCTTCCACTCTTCGAGAGCCACGTGTCACCACAGTTCCATTCCATCTTTCTTTTCTTCGCCCCTATCACCCATACCTCGAACTGCCCACCCTATCTCACTAGTGGAACCACTGGTCCCTCCCTCCATCACCTTATTTATCAATATCTTTAAGTTTTCTATTCTTCTTGTTTTATATATATAAGTATATGCACTCACTCAGGTGACATTACCGATGTGGGATTGCGATTGTTCAGGTAATTGAAGATTGTTGGAACTGAAAATGGACCACAGTGCCGATGCACTTCGAACGGACTTGATGACCATAACGCGCTTCGTGCTGAACGAGCAATCCAAGCACCCTGAGTCACGCGGCGATTTCACCATCCTTCTCAATCACATTGTTCTCGGTTGCAAGTTCGTTTGCTCAGCGGTCAACAAGGTACTAGCTTCGATTTATCTCTCTCTGCGACTAATTTTACTACGAAATCAACACTGGTGAAACTTTTGTTACAGTTTATGTGTTTATGCACGAATTAATACATCGTGACCTGTGCAGGCTGGACTTGCTAAACTTATTGGACTCGCTGGAGAGACCAATGTTCAGGCAAGTGTTTGCTTCTTCATAAATAATTGTCTGTGTTATTAATTTTTTTCTTTTTTTGTTTGGGGTACCAAAAGATTTTAAAATCTATTTGCAATGGCACTGCAACTGCGGCTATTTGTTTGTAATTTGTTGTGGTAGTTTTTTTTGTGACCATTGATACTGCTTATTTCTGTGAATCATTACTATGAGTTAAAACTTGTTTGTGATTTTTTCTTTTTACTTAATTATTTATTTATGTTTGTTCCGTTTGTGTTTGGGATGAAGGGTGAAGAGCAGAAGAAACTGGATGTTCTTTCCAATGAGGTTTTCATCAAGGCTCTCGTCAGCAGTGGCCGAACAGTAAGACAGTGATCATGATTTAAAACTTCGATTTATATGTTTGTTTTATTTTTTATTATTATTTATTTTGGCTGTGTTTCTGTGAATGAGACTTTTGGCGATGGTGTTGTTTATCTTTGAACAGTGCATCCTGGTTTCTGAAGAAGACGAAGACGCGATAATCGTGGAGCCATCCAAGCGTGGAAAGTTGTCCCTTGTCTCTGTTTCCTAGTGCTGTTACTTTTTGTCCTGTGAACGAGGTTTTAAACTGCAGTTGCATCAACTACTGTCACATGTTGTGCAATTGAGACATGTGCAAGTTAAAGTTGCATCATGGGACAGTGTCTGCAATTTAAAACCTTATAAAAAATGTTTTGCTTGGTTTTTCTATTCTGATTAGTTTGTGTGGATGTTTGGGTTTTTAATTGCTGGGCAGGTACTGTGTTGTTTTTGACCCCTTGGATGGTTCGTCTAACATTGATTGTGGGGTTTCCATTGGCACAGTACGACCCCTCTTCCATCTTTCATGCAAATATCTTTATTGTAACAAAATTTGAACGAAATTTCTTTCATGTCTTTCTGTGTTGTTCTTAGGTAAAGTTCTAGTCTGAACTTAGCAGAAAATGCTAACAACAATCTTTAACACACTTACTATTATTGATTAAACTTTTATAGAAAATTACATTTTTTTTTATAGATCTCACTACTCATTTAATAATTCTCTCAACTCCTCTTGTAATTTTTAATAACTGTTAACTAATTATAAATAATATGTTACTAACATTCTATGACTCCATTGTTTATGTGTTTAACGCAAATTTTTAAGTAAGACTTCAATTATAACAGAGTCATCTAAGAAACTACACAAGTACATATAAATTTTTTCCACCATCACTAATAATAATTTTGCTTTCCTTGGAAATCCTCTGCTGCATGAGCTATGTACAGAAGGATTAATATTCCAGACTAACTAGATATTGTGTGTGGCAATTGTATATGTTGTAGATTTTTGGAATTTACGCGTTGACAGATGTTCATGAACCAACCATAGACGATGTCCTGCTTCCTGGCAAGAAAATGGTTGCAGCTGGTTATTGTATGTATGGAAGCTCTTGCACGGTATGACAAACCTATACAAATATTTGTTGCTTAGAATTTAGATTTCAGTATTTGTTGGGTGCATCTGTTTTCTGCATTTTCTTCATTATCTGTTACATATTTTATCCTCTTGGAAAAGATTTATTATATAAGTGAATACTTTTGTTTTCACCTTTTTTGGGGAAGATGAAAACAATTCCTTTTATGAAAAGCTGAGGACTGAGAATTTCCTTATTCTATAAACATGCAATGCTTAATTACTCAATTTCAATTTTGAAATCTATTGGTTTTGCAGCTTGTGTTAAGCACTGGAGCTGGCGTTCATGGTTTCACCCTTGACCCATCTCTTGGTGAGTTCATCCTAACTCACCCTGACATTCAGGTATTACTCTTATCACTTAAAGGTCACATTATAAATTATCCTTCTCTCAGGAATTTGCATGGCTTCTCAGCTTTTATGAAAGTCAGCACCTGCTTGGTTTTCTTTTTGTTCAAACTGAATCTATTCAAGTTATTTCTCTTGACCTTAAACTATGCCCAAAAGGCCTAACAAAGGGTCTTGGTATAAAGACTCAGTAATTTCAAATTGTATGGATGAGGCTTTATTTTCCATCCATACAGACATGCTCAACTTACGGCATAGAATATAAACACACGTGTAAACACGCCATCTGTGGGTCACTTGATTGAGGCATATGTTTATCATTTGATGTATCGTTCTCTGTGTAGATTCCAAAGAAAGGAAAGATTTATTCAGTGAATGAAGGCAATGCCAAAAACTGGGATGGTCCTACTACAGCGTATGTTTGAATTCAGTAATGTAATTATGTTCTCAAGCACTAAAGAGAAAATTTTGCCAGTCTTGTTATTCGTTTTTCACTTCTGTTCAGTTACGTTCAAAAATGCAAGTTTCCAGAAGATGGTTCATCGCCAAAGTCTCTAAGATATATTGGAAGGTATCATTAGATTCTCAACCCTTAAAAGCAGTTTAATTTATTCTCAATAGCCCTTGTTTTAGTTCTCCTCAGAGTTGAGTTGGTTAATTGCCACCCTGCAACTTCTTTTAGTTTTAACTTATTTTCTAACAGTTAATGCAAACAACTATTTGAAATAGTAACCAGATCTAAGAGTTACAATTGGAATTAAATAAATAAAAAGAAGTCACCTGAAGACTCTTGGTAATGGTTACCTAATGAAGCATGCATATTTTCTACTGAGTGAACAGTTGAATTTGTAAGCATTAATGATTATCTTTAATTAGCACTCATTGCCATATAGTTTAGAAAGAATCATCAATTTTCTAATAATTGATTTTTTTATTTCCTGGTCAATTTTTTCACCTTGAATCTAAATCACACATCAATTTACTTTGAACAGTGAACTTTTTCCCTGTTGAAATTTACCGAAGCATACATAAAGTTAGGGTGATAGACTAGAATATATAAAGACCTTGATGTAATCTTTACGTACAATTGTTAAATTGATAACTCAGTTCTTTTGCTCATAAAAAAACAGTTAAGAAAATGATAATTCGGGTGTTCTGAAGAATGTGATGGATCAGTATTCATTTATGCTTATAACTATATTATGTTCTATTGCTCTGAATCCAATCTGCTAACAAAGTCTGTTAATAGCTTACGTTCAACTCAACTTTGCTTTCCATAACTCTCATGAACTGTGCACCAAAAGAAATCCCCATCAAGTAATGCTCTTGAATGACACCACAGAATGAGTCACCTATAAGTTTCAGCTTCTTTTTTTCGAGTTGTGACATTTCTTTATATTAACAGCATGGTAGCTGATGTTCATCGTACATTGCTTTACGGAGGCATCTTTTTGTACCCTGCTGATAAGAAAAGTCCAAATGGAAAACTTCGGTATGTCATGTTCAACCTTCATATTTATTTAGTTAGTTACTTTTGGCCTGAGAAACAAAACTTTGAAGTTGTTGGCTCATTAATTGAACTGTTTTGTGTAGTGTTCTGTATGAAGTCTTCCCAATGTCATTCTTGATGGAACAGGCAGGAGGACAGGCCTTCACGGGCAAGGAACGGGTACTTTACATACATTTTTAACTGACTCTGCCAATATTTTCTTGGTTAAATTAATATTTAGATCTCTATACCTGAGCCAACATTTTAAACTTTATCATAAAAAGCATTGCCTATATAAGAATTAAAATATAGTTTTGAGATATAAACTATGAAGCACAAACATCTCTCTTATTTGAATATTTTTTGTGATCAGGCACTTGATTTAGTTCCTACGAAGTTGCACGAGCGATCTCCAGTATTCCTTGGAAGCTATGATGATATTGAGGAAATCAAAGCGCTTTATGCTGCTGAGGCTAAAGAAGAATGATTTTTAAAAACATGCATCCTCTTGTATTGTTATCTGCTCGCAATCACTTGTTTTCCCATTTTTAGCAGGTTCTTATAACAAAACTTGGTATATGTCGTGGTCATAAACTTGATTTATATAACAATTATTTAGAATAAATTAGCAATTTAGCATTTTACTGGAGAAGAATTACTGCTTACTTTGCCTCTCGAAAAGCATTTCAAAGTTCAAGTCGCAAACCTTATAAGTTACTGCTACAACGTCATTTAACACATTCTCATTACACTTTATATTTTACAGTACATTTATTTCAAATCACTAATAAAAACAGACATTTCAAAACATTCGGTAGCTCTAATTTCCCAAGTCTAAATAGTCTAAAAATGGGGAAAATAAAACAGGAAATCAATGGCACATGAACTAATTACGAACAATAAAAACTCAATCCAAAATTGTTGGACAACTGTTTTTTCAGAAACACTAAAACTAAATCTGAATTGAAAGAGGATTAAAACCTTATTTAGTCCCTAAAAAATACGACACATAAAGCCTTCGGCTTAGCTTGTGAGCTTAATTATGATAAAGGCTTCTTCCACTACCTTTCTTGTCTCACCAAAGGCTCAACATGGATTTGAGAATGAGTTTCGCATGTTCTAATTTCCTTCAAAACTTCAAGACACATGAAACTAGAGTCTGGTTTTCTATTTGATGTTCTCTAAACTCAAATTGAAAAATAAATTCAGTTGTGACATTTGATTATTCCTCTTTCACTGTGTGAGACTTCTATATATTTGATTTATATGAAGTCTCACTACATAGTACGATTACTATTTTTTTTAATTTTTTAATAATTTATTATCATTATAAATAAATAATAATATCAAGTTATTTTTGCACTCTGGATTTGTAAACTTTTATACAAACAAGCACTAACATCTTGTTTGTCAGAGAGAACGGTTGATAAAAATAGGATTGAACTAATGTGGTGTTTTTGTTAGAAAGAGATAAAAACAATAAAGGTCGAATAGTTTTATTTATCTTTTAAAATGGACATTTAATAAATAAATTAATTATCCCTAAAAATACTTTTCATATTTTACATGATACAATTCAATTCTTACATGTATGAGTTAAAATTGTTTTTATAATAATATTAAAAAAAACTAAATTATATTTTAATAATAATATATAAGAACTTACATAAAATATAACACACTTGTGAAAAAATATAAATTATTTTCAAAAAATAATTTCAATTTACTTAAATTTTAGTACTAAAATTAAAACCTCTTTAAAACCTAATTGATCATCCTACCAATAATAAAACACATTATACTGTTTCACACCTATTTCTAATCATTTCTCTGTCTCTTCTCATTTCATCTATTTCTTTTCACACACACCTTTACTTTTGTTTTAATTCTCCTCTATTTTCACTTTACCAACTTTTTTCCATCCAACCAATTCTCACGTCTCTATCAAACAAAACATTAATGATTTCACCGTTCTTTGTACCAGAAGCTACTTGTATCATTCAAATCATGAATGGCAGACTTACTGAATTTTTTCTTCGTAAAAAAGTTTCTCTTTAATTAAAAAATGTTTATATTATAATTAGATGCACCAAATTTGAAAATATCATGCCGGTTCTCATATCTTCTATTGTAACTAAAAGTAAACAAGGACATGAAGAGACATCAAATCGGGAAAAAAGCATGGCCTACTCTTTTTATGGAGTCACTGATATAATGGCAGCTCCACACAACAGCAAAAATCCTTGTTTATGTGCATGCCATGATTCTTTCAAGCTATAAAGAGGTTTGAAGACTAACTGTCTAACATAAATCTCTAGCACACAAGCCAATTAAGTAGCTAATCTAATCATAAGAAACGAGATCACTACTTAAGTTGTACAATTTCATAAACATTGACAATTGTTATTAATATGATCATATAGTTCATCGGGCCATGTTATGCAGTCCTCAATGGTGGGGAAACCAATATCACTCCATCTCCCCTAACAAACAGGAAAGGAACCGTCCGCTTAGTAGTCTGCAATCAGAAAGAAAACAAAAGATCATCCAAAGAAATGTATCTTAAAAATAATTAGCATGCATTTGGCTTTTGCTAGGTAAGAGCAATTTGAAGGTTGATGCAGATGAAGTCTGTAAATATATGCATTTGGCATTCCCTACATATGAACAAAATTCCAAAGGTGTTCCTTCCTTGGTTGTCCATAGTGCATTACTGTTTAGAAAAGACAATTTTTTTTTCTCCAACAGAAAGTCAGTCAAGTAAACAGCTCTAGTCCAAGTTCTGAAATAATAAGGCCAATAACCACAAACATAATGCCTATAGTCTCATTTGAAAAATACCCAGAAACAAAGTGTCTAGCTTTACTATAAATTACTCATTGATGAGCAAACTCATCATAATCTTACGATTCAATTCATTTGATTCATATCTCAAGATGAATCTTCAATGACTTTGTATCTTAATGATCTATGTGGATATTGTCACCTACTCGATTCATCAATTCATATGCTTTTTACCAATTCTTATGCAAAAAATTAAAAAAAACATGTGTGCTTAATTTTTTAAATAAAAGGGATTTGAAAAAACACTTCTGAACTTATCCTATTTGATTATTCCACCTTTATTTGTCACTCACTCATTCAATCCATGTACTCTATTAGCTATTTAATTGTTTTTCTTCTATTCTTCTAAAATAAAGACCTCAAAAGCATAGATATAACAAATTGTTTTATTTTGTATGACTTTTGCTTAAGTTGTTTTATCTATTTGCAGTTTATACTGTTTACATTGAACGCTATATATCACCTACATGATATATTTTAAGTAATTTTTCATTGTACCTGAATCTTACTATTCCATACAAAATTAAGTTCCCTATTCAAAACATAACTCAATTCATGATTCCAATCTCGATTTTATAACCTTGCCGATGAGCTCTTTCTTCGGCAATGGTTATTTTTACTTCATTTAAAGCAATATTTCTTGTCAACCTCTCACTTAAAAACTATATCACCTCTACCGAAACAGGCAGGCATTCATTGATGCCGATTGCTGCCCCTAAACATTGAGTAATAATAACATAAATAATCTACAAGTATACAAATTTTCCATCAATTATTCAAAGTTCTACCACTTAGCTTTGCCAAAATATATATATATATATATATATATATATATATATATATATATATATATATATATTTTTTTTTTTTTTTTTTTTTTTTTTCTTTTTCTGAGTATAACTTACCCTCACAATTTCTTCATATGTCTCATCATCAATTTCAACAGTAGTAACAATCTCTTCAACATCACCAAGAATCATATTAAGATGCTGATCATAAGCCTGCAAATCCAAATTGAAAACAGGTCCAAAATGAGAAATGGAGGGGAGCACATAAAATAGTTCTAAAACAAGTCTCCCCTTACAAATTTTTGCTTAGGCATCCTAAATATAAAGCATGCGTATTTTCTGTTTAATTGGAAACAAAAGCTTATTTCCAAGAGCAATAATAACTTTAGACTAGATATATATCATGTAGATGGCATATTAGCCCTAGTTATGTTATGACAACAGATTATTGGTCATGTTGCAGATAAGTAAATGAGGAGAAAGAAAGACATGTCTTTCCCATGTACTAAATATGTATCCTTAAACAAAATTAAGGGGAAGGATATCCTAAGCACTAATCAGATCCAAACTTAATCCATTTTAAGAAGCTTAAAAAAACAATATAGAGACTCCGAAACTCATGATGTCTTATTTTAACTTCTGTGTGACATTTAAAATTATTTTATCCACCAGGTAACTAACTACTTCAATCAAAAAGTGATTTTCCATTTTTGACAGAAGATAAGGAGAAGCAAAAAAACTATTAGAGATCAGATCTAAAAGTCTAATAGTTGTACATAGTAGTTGCATCCAGTTACAAGTAAGATAAGTGACTAGCATTGGGAACATACAGAGGCTGCTTCTCAGAAATTTGACAAGGAGTATCAGATTATTTGGCTCAAATTATTAAGCACATCATAAATTTATGCATCGCTGATTTTCAGGTTTAAAGCTGAAAGTTTACTTCACCAGTCATCACAAACTGAAATCTGAAACCTGTGTAGTTAAGATATTTATTTATACTTCTACTAAATGAACAGGAAGACCAATGACAACAACGTGTAATTCATACCATTCCTTGTACACTCAGGTAAGCTTCAACTTTCAAATTAGAATCATTCGTTAAATTAATTCAAAAACTTAGAAATTTAAGAACAGTAAATAAATAAGTGCGTAAAAAACACCACTGCTCCCTAAAAAAAAAAGCACCGAGTTATAGCACTAAAACAACCTTAGAAAACACACACACACAATCATTCCAATATGTTACTCTCATCCCACTATTTAAATCCTTTCCGCGTAAAGGGCTAAGAAATCCCAAAGAAATCATATTACTCTAACTCAATCTTCAACCGGTTGCATATTTAGCTTATAAACAATTAAACAAATATTACAAACTAACAGTCCATACTTCTCATCCCTCGTCCCAAACCATTTATTTTAAATTCTAGTTCAAAATACTGAAATTTCCATTCAGCAACAAACAACATTTTCTTCCAAAACCCAAAATTTGGAACCACAAAGCCTCAACTCAATCACCACCGGAAAGTACTAAATAACCCATTACTCTTACAACGGCATATCATTAGGGCAGTCAGAAAGACGCAATCTGGCAACAATTACAAGCAACCCAGATTTCAATTACGTTGAAAACAACTTAAAAAAATCATAAATTTCCCACGACAGAACACCTAATACATTAGACACCCTTTACGTTAACGGGTAGTCACAAAAAGAGTGCAAAAGTTGAAAGCAAAGAGAAATTCATGAAAAGGAAACAAAAAGACTGAAAATTACGTGAAGTTTGCCACGAAGCTCTCTATCAGAACGGAGCTTGACGTAGATACGTTCGTCGAGGCTGAGCCTAATGAGATCCAAAGGCTCCTTCACCGCGCTCTCTTCTTCTGTAGCCATCAATCACTTCACTAGTTTCAGTGGTTCTGCTTTTGGAAGTATTTCAAGTTTTTTCTTGTAACCCTTTTGAAGTTTTGAGTCAATTTTTTCTTCTTCTTTCTCTTTTCTTTAGTGTCAAGTAGTTGTAATTTTGTCGATCCTGGGCCTGGCATAGGCCGTATGTCTAGAGCCCAAATCATAAATTCATACATTCCATTTTTATTCAGACCTATATTTATTTTTATTTTTTTTAATATTTTATTTCAAAATGTTAAAATTTTAAGAACATGTTTAGATTAAAGTGATAATACTATTATAACTTATTCCCAAAAAAAAAATCTTGTTCATGAATTGAGAACAAAAAAGTTAAAGTATTTTTTAGTTTTTTATATTTTCATAAATTATGTTTTAGAATGTTAAATTACAACATTTCAAAAAAAATGTCAAAAAGATTGTCTTTAAGGACAATCTTTTCATTGCTTTGAATAATTATTAACAGTAACATTATAGTTACCAAAATTATATTCTGAGTGTGTGAAAGTTTTACTTCTTAACTTTAAAGAACGACTTATTTAATACAAAACTCTCTAAGAAGGTTCTTAAATTGAAGTATATAATTTTATTAAAAAAAACTCTTATTAAAACATATAAGAAGGTTCTTAAAATTAAGAATAGGGGAAACAAAATATGTCTGTATTCACAACCTATCTTCAAAACACCATTTTTAGAAGAAGAAAAAATCAAACATTCAAATTTATGCTGAAATAATTTTCGGAACTAAAAATATTGAAACTTTACCATGGAAAAGTTGAAATGAAACATTTGAACAATGAAGAACATTCTCAATCGTTGCCTTCCAATCAACTATTATTACTTTTGTTCTAAAACATACAATTGAATCGTTTATTATATCAACTATAGTTCTTATATCTTACTTTCTTTTCCTTTTTTTAATTTATTTAAAAACTTGTTATTATTAATAAATATTATTATAATGTATTAATTTAACATGGTTATTGTTATATATATTAAGTACATTTTTATTTAGCTTTTGAATATTAAGAATAAAATACAATAATATTGTAATTTTAATCTCTAGTATTATAAAATTATGAGGCCATATTTACTTAAAAATAATATAATATATATATATATACTATTTAACCATTCATGCTTTACTAAAATAAGTTCATCCACGATTTAAATGTCGATTTAATAACTAGTTTAGCTCCTACAATATTCAGTTATTGTTCTTAACATGATCTATCATTGAACTAATGAGAAATTGTATTTCTAAAAGATTCAACTTTTCCATCCATGATCAAAATTGAAAGGTGCGATTTTTTTTACCCTTCAAACACAAACTTGTTTTGTTCCTAAACTAAGTGTTTTGTTCGACTTTTGTTGCATATTTATCCATACTTCATGATTATTGTCCAAAAAGATACAAAAGCTACTTCTTGAAGCTTCAAATGACTCTTAGAAGATGTCTATCAAGAATCATTATCAAATGAAATTATAAACAAACTAGAATGATAAATAAGTTAAATAATGGAACCCAGGATAAGCATGAAAAAGTACCCACCTAAACTCCATAAACCCACTGCAAACCTAAACATGATCGATTACTACAAAAACACTGTACTATTGAAGCTCAATAACTAAAAGCGTATCTCGTAATTATAGATTGCTCCATGGAACCATTCACATCAAAATGGAACTTTTATATCTGTGAACATTGAGAACTGCAGGTTGAATTAAATAACCAGATGAAAGCCCCCCAGCTCCAAAAATTGGTAGACATGCGAAGGGAAGCCTCAAAACATCATATCATCCATGCCACTGATAACCATCTTCTGCAAATCTTCCTGGGACAACAAGGTTTTCTTGCCGGTGCCACCAGTTTTATCATATGGCTGGGCCATTTTCCTGAGGAACTGCATTCAACAGATCAACCATTCTATCATATATTGTATTACTAACATGTAACTTCGACATGGTCACAATATGTTTTGTAAATCAAATAGTGCATACATGTGCATGCATGCATATGATAGGACATATCTTCTAGTTAAACTGTGAAGTAAAGGTTTACACAAGATCATTAAACCTAATGCACGAGAGGGCCTACGGTCACAATTGCTACTTCCAATCTCAAACTCTAGGCATTTTGGCGCAATCATACTTCTTCAGATGAAATAGCAGCATAATAATTTATTTGAAGGGAAATAACCAACAGAAAATGAGAATAGAAAGAAAAGAATGAGCTTAAAGCAAAATCGAGATGGTCAGGCATCCATGGATTTCAGTAAATTTAATGTATCCACAAAGTGATTTTCCTTTTTTTTTTTAAATTCTCATTATACTAAATTTAATGTATCCACAAGTGATTACACAAGCTTCAAACCCGAATTACAAGGATATACCTCACGTGCTATATGCAAAGCCATGTCTGTGCTCAAGTTCAGGTGGGCATCATGTAAATGAGAAAGAATCCAACTAGGCAATTTTGACCGTTTGTCATGACGGCTATACCTGCAGGGTGTCCAATAAAAAACAATAAATTTACTGTCAAAACCTTCACAAGTGAAAAGTAGAAGCCAAGACTCATATGGATCAATCAACAGAGGTAGGTGTTCTCTACATCTTCTAGTACCACATCATAAATTCTGATGTCCACAGGTGCGAGGAAGTGCACAAAAAAGGATATACATTTGCTATTTTACCAAAGAAACAGTGAAGTAGAATAGGCCATTAATTCATGCAGACTTTCATAGTTTAGAATGGTCATTTCCACTCTAACGTATAGAATTTGTGACTAAAAGATATTTACAGCCAATTTTTGCTGATTACATCTGTTGGTTACATTGGATTCTGAAACTAAACATGTCATGGCCCTGAACAAACAATTCTTTCTCTGCTTAACAAACTAGATTCTAAAGCTAGTCAAGTCTCTTTTCATCTATCATTCATTATTGAAGACAGGCAATAACTTCCAATCCATTTCAGGAGAAATTGCATTAAGTTATAGTGCATTGTGCTTTTTGAATCAAAACTGGAATACCAGATGCAGCCCGCACATTTTCTCAAAATATGTGCTACTAAAAAGGATGTAAGAATATTAACCTTTTGTCTGCAAAAATCATCATTCCATAATCAGCTTTTGAACGGATTACACGACCCACACACTGAGCAGCTTGTCTCTGTTTAAGCAGAAAATTCTTTCACTGAGTATAGGAATCTATTAATCAAATTATCAGCACAAATTGTGTTTGTGGTAGAGGAGAGGGAGAGTCAAACCAGTGCATCAAAAGTCAGAAAATCTCCTTCCTTAATTTGAAAAGTATCTCGTAAATATTCCAGGCGTGCAAGCAAAATCCTGAAAATTTATTAATCTGATAAGTTCTGCAACTCATGATTTAAAGAAATAGGTAAGGAAATAAATAGTTTCACATTTTACTTATTCAGAGTTTAGTCAAATAAAACTAACTTGCTTAATGTGTATTGGAAAGGAACACCAAACATGATTACCAGTCGACCATAATGTCGATCAAAATCTATACCTTCAGCAACCTTTCCCCTACAAACACATAGATACTTTCTTAGTCCTCAGATTAACTTAATAAATAGGTAAAGCAATACATAATTACAGTAACTAGTTGCCTAATTAGTAAATAAGAGAATTTTTCTATTATAAAGAATGAAAATGATCCGATCATACAACAATGTATTAGAGGCACAAAGTAAAAGACGAATGTACTTCAAAAAAATATAAAAAAGGGTTGAGCCAATCATGCCTATGATGGTTTGACCATGGGATAAGAATAACCAATATAAGCCGTAGTAAGAATTATTCATGACATGAGGGATGAGCCAACAATAGTTAGTGGAAGAAAAAATGCCACTAGAGAGGACTTAGATCTAAATTGTCCCTTTGACAACTTGGATTTTAGCAAAACAAATGGCAGCATATGATCCATGTAGCTAATCCCACCAAATGAGAAAATGATTCTGTTGTTGTATAAACAATCAACTTCTAAGTTGCCTTCACCAAGGAACTGCACAAGCTATTCTAATTTCTAAAATCTAAACAATTAGTTTGTTGTAAGTGCATCTATCAATGGAACAAGTATGGATATGAGCATGTACACATACAAAGGCAAAATACTATTGATAATGGAGAGTTCAAATCTCAGGATCCTATTTTAATGCACAATTCAACAAAAAGAAGCACCAAAGAGACATAAGGAATTAATTAACAAAATCGTAGAACAGATAGAAGAGGTTCAGATCCAAAACTTCTACTGGAAATTCTGCAAATGTTCGATTTCAATATACAACACCTAGTTGCATAAATATCTTTTCAGCACAAAGATTTCACTACCCTCTCTTCCCTCTAGTCAGATAATAAAGTAGCCCAGTAGGAAATAGAAATTGTGCTAGCAATATTGTCCAAATATTTGTCAAAGAACACCTATGCATATAAAATCCAATAGGTGACTTGGTGCCAATGATGTCAAAATTGAATTTCAACATTAAAAGGGGGTTGTAGGATCATATAATTATTTAAATTATTTTTTCACTCTGTCTCTCTTTATATATATAGAGAGAGAGAGAGAGAGAAAAAAAAAAGTAATTTAAATAAGTAACTTCTAATCACAAAAAATTATTTAAGGAAACTTTTGAAAACTCATAAGATCCTGGTCATCAAACTGATCATTTAACTCAAAATCACACGAGTTTACAATCCCAGAACCTCATTTCAAGTTAACTCGGTGGTGGACTCCTACTTGAGGGAAGCTCCTGGACAAGGAAATTTGCACTGAATTTGTCAACTCACATGATCAAGTTGAAGATGTCCCAACAAAGTTTCCGAGAGGATTTTGAATTCAATTCATATGTTTCTAACTTGATGCATATAATTTATAGGCTCCAGTTTGAGGGGTTGTATTAGATTTGAAATTTAGAAAATATATTATATGAATTATAAAAAGTTGTTTCCTTCTACCCTATTCTGAATTGTAGCCTGCTGCCATCTATAGTCACATTCTGCTCTTCTTTCTTTTCTGTCAGTGTACTCATTGCTCCTTTATATATATACACACATATTATACAGCTGAGTTCCAAAGTGAGAAACTCAAGACTTTTCTTCTCAATATCTCTATTACCAAATAATAAACATTCTTGATTGATTCATTACAAGTTGTTATAGTTTGTTATTTTTCATTCCTTTATAATTTTGTTATTCCGCATTTACGTGTGTCAATCATTTCTTAATGTCACTCAAATTTATTATGTACGGATGATTCCTTCATTCTTGTACAAATGGCCATAGCCTTTACTGTATTCAATATATAAAAAAAAAAAAAGGAATCAATGAAATATTCATTGATGAGAATCTCTCAAGTAATGTTTTTATGGAGCAACAATCTCATGATTCAACACTTCAGAGCAACTATCCAGTATTCAATCATTAAACACTTTCTCATAGGTGTGTGATTTACAGAGAAGACAGAACAGCATTGGATGATATGATCCCATGTGTTTGGGCACAATTTTGACAACATTGGCTGCTGCTATATTGCTACATATAGGTATTTCACATATATGTATTTAAAGAAAAGAAGTACACACTCCCCTTTTAATTAAAAAGAGTGTAGTTTGCTTAATATCTTATCATGTAAAAACCCAGGAGGATATGGTTCTGCTATCTTACCTAGCAACAGAAAAAAAGATAGCACCTCTTCCACAATCACAAGCCTTTCGGTAGTTATCAAGAGCTAATGTAGTCTCTACCACATCCTGAGTCTCAATGAAAACAAGTTTATGTTGCATTATTTCCTGCAAAAATGATGTTTTTAGCATATCACCAACCTATATAACAGAAACTACTGCTCTGCTAGTAAATGGGCTGGATATCAAGGAATTTAACTAGTCTCCTCACCTTTAAAATTCCATTTTCATTCCAGGTATTGACTATTCCATCCATATATGAGTAACTAACAAAGAAACATACAATCCCATCAGGGACAACCGAAGCCATTTCCAGTAAGAGCCTTCCATAATTCCTTACTACACCCAGATCACTTCTCATATCAAATTTTGTACTGACTGGGAGCTGATCACTGAGACAAGAAACCTATTAAATGTTAAAAAGAAAACAAAGGGAGTAGTAAAAGTGTTCTCCGTCAAGCAAATCACAGATTTAAATTGCCAATAATGAGAATACCTGCCACGGGTGAGCACCATTGGACATATACAATCTCTTGTTAAGGACATAGTAAAACTTCGACTGACAACAGGATTGAAATTCAGAAGACGAGGGTATAGATCTATTGGGCTTAGTGTGCCAGATGTAATCACAACAGACTGAAATCGCTCAAAAACTGGCTTGATAGCAAGAGAAGCATCGTGGCAACAAAGCTGAAATGTTATTGATAAAAGAGAATAAGAAAAAGTGAACTACATAAACACAGGAAATAATATAAATAAATGTTGCATAACAGAATTAATTTAATGGTTACAAATTGCAATCATAGTATCAGAATCTTAATATTCACTATCCAAATCTTATGATTCTATATATTTTGGCTATCAACTGATCCATATCCAAAGATGCTTTGAATCTTATGATACATAAATGAATCTAAGAAATTCATACACTGATTTGATTAACGATTCATATTCCTTTTCACTATTCCCATGAAAAAATAAACTAAAGAAGTCATCTGAGCTTAAATTTTTAAATCAAAAGGGATTTTAAAGAACACTTGAACATCCTATTTTATTAGTTCACCTTTATTTGTCACTCACTCATTCAATGCATGTACACCCTATTAGCTATGTAATTGATTCAAATCCATTCTTTTTTAAAAAAAGACTTCACAAACATAGATACAACTAATAGATTTGTTTCGTATGACTTCTACTTAAATTGTTTTTTCATTTATTTCTAGTTTCACTTGTTTACATTAAACATTATATATCATCTATATGATATATTTGAAGTAATTTTTCATTGTACCTGAATCATCTATATCATCTATATGAATCATGACTTTAATTTCGATTTGATAACCTTGGTTACAACAGCAATAGAGTAAATAAAATTCATAGCATTGCTAACCTGTAATACAGGATCAGGAATGTGTGGCATACGCTCATCAAAAGGTTCAATTATAATAGAAAAACCACGAGCATACGTTCCCACAAGGGTGGCAAAATCACATATAGTTTGGATATGAAGGAACTCATCCGTGTCTGTAATTTCCAAAGTCATCATCAATGAATGAAGGCGGTCATAACAGAACTTTAGTGATTTTTGGTCAATTCCAGCATGGTTAAGAATAGAGACAACAAAGCTAACAGGGCTCTCCTTCTCCACATTCTCAGTGTCTAAGCGTCCTTCAAGATATTGAACTAATCTACGTAAAACATGAATAAAATGCTCAGCCCGGCGAATATTTCCAGGCACAGCCTCTTTCAATATATCATCAGGCAAGGCTGGATTTGCTAGCCAGGCATCAGTAGCTACACAAAGAAAAGAAGTTGTAGTTAGTTGTGACCACAGCCCAGACATAAGACATTAACAACAAAACTGACATCCTACATACCAGACAAGTCTCCTCTTAATGCCAAACCTTCAACAAGCCTATTGTATTCAGCACGGAGTCTACCTGCATCAGTGGCCTTGAACCTTCCTACCAGTTCAAATTCCAATAGTTAAGAGAATCTGAAACAAATTTCAGCTATGGCAACACATGGAAAATAAAACAATAATGACACTATTGCAAAGAGAACATGGCAGGAATTTCAGTGCTCCAAGGTAAAGTTTGACCCTTTAAAATCCTTCCTTTATGAATGACCCATGTAGGGTTAGAAAAATAATTAGCAAATTCACTAGAGTCCTTAAATTCTTTAAATTCTTACTCTTGTTCTTCCTATTTAAGTTGTCATAGTGAAAATTTGGTACAGAAGGAAAGCTAGAAACAGCACATACTTGTCAATTTCCTGACGCATCCTAGTAAGGTTTCTTCTAGCACCTTCAATAGTCTGCCTCCTCACACTCACACTAAGCGCTTCAATACAGACATTATCAATATTATGAGCTTCATCAAACACAACAACAGACTCTTTCTGCATTTCCTTAGATATTATGCCAGCCACCTTTGGATCAAGCAAATACTGATAGCTATATACCACCACATTAGCAAACTGCACCATATGGCGTGCCAAATAGTATGGACACCACCCTTTCTCCTTCCCAAACACTCTCAGATCCTACAATCAACATACACATTTCGTTTCAACCATTTCAGAAATTCTAGTAAAATTCCTAGAGCACAACCAATCAAAATGGAAAATTTCCAGTCAATCCCACTAAAATTCAAACATTTCTAAATCAGCAAACACCTAAGATTGATGAAAATCAAATACTATCCATTCAGACAACCACACTCAGAATTGGAACAACCAAAACAATAGAATTAATTTTTATAGTCAACCACACTCAAAATTTGCACAACCAAAACTATAGAATCAATTTTTGTAGTCAACAACAAAATTAGAATACGTCAAAATTAAATAACATCAGAAACTAACAAAAATTTAATTTTTTTTTCTTCTTATCAACTAGTTAAAAATAAGAAAAACAAATCATCCAAAAATAGGAATCATTTAAAACTGATCAAAATCGAACTTCTCAATGAATCACAGTAAAAATCTAAACACTCCAAAATCAAAGAACATCCGAAACCAATCCAATCTAAATTCTCCAGTCAAGCAACTTAAACAACAATTATTTCAGAACCAACTTACACGAAATACATATCAAAACCAAATTCCTTTTCATCAACTCAAACCCTCTAAGAAAAACTTCAAACAATAATACTGTCCACAACAGCGATTTTGACCACAACATCAAGGTTTTCAATTCACCCAACCGCATCACAACAGCAATCGCAGCTGCATTGGGCATATTTGTCAACAATATAACCAGAACCGTAGTCACAATTCAAAACCTTGATCCAAATCCCTTATTACCCACACAAACCACTATAAATTTAAAACATTTCACAATCAGGCGACTAACACCAAAACCAAAACGCCAACCTGCAGAGTGTAAACCCCGGGAGGTAGAACCGCGGACGACCCCGCCCTCTCATACTGCTCGAAGAACTCGCACGACGGCACAGCTGGGTTCTCGGCAGCGAGCGCCCGGACCCAGGAGGCGGTCAGCTTCCGACAACCAGCATCCACGGAGTCACGATTTTCAGCCGCGAGAACTCTTGAATTGACGCAGAGATTCTTCCGGGAGGACAATCCGAGGGCGAGGATCCGGGCGGCGGGACCGAGGTGCTGAAGCTGGTAGTCGTGGAGGAGGCGGAGCTCGGCGAGCGTCTTCTCCATCTCGTGGACGGTGCGCGTACAGTAGAGGAGCTTGAGCGGGGAATTGGGCTTGGAGAGGACGTAGCTGGTGATGAGGGAGAGGAGCGCGATGGTTTTGCCGGTGCCAGTGGGCATCTCCAGGAGACAGTGACCCTTGGCGTCGAGGGCGCGCTTGAGCTCCACCATGTAAGAGTATTGCTCCGGGTAGATGTTGTCGTAGGGGAAGTACACGGTCACGTCCTCAATCTCGAACTTCATGATCGATTATGAATCGTGGCGATTCGATTGTGTTTGGGGAATGAGTGTGAATGAGTGTGACTGTGTGTGAGGGAGAGAGATAGAGGGTTTAGGGTTTTTCTAGGGATCGGACATGAACCATGCAGAAGAAGAAGAATTTAGGGCTTTGTTCTCTCTTCTGTTTTGTTCTTAATGATTTTAAGAAAGGGAGGGTCGAAAATAGACTGCGTTTTTTTTTTTTTTTTTTTTTTTGCAGCAAAGAGTAATTGATATTAATAAACATGTATTAAATAATATTGAAAAATAAGATAAAGTATGAGATATATAACCCACTGATACATATGTATTTCTCCGTGGCCAAACCGATGTAACTGACTTAGTTAGTTAGTAGCAAAGAGTAATTGATATTGAAAAATGTTAGTAATTTTGATCACAATTTATCATAATATTAAAGTTTTAAATAAGTGTACGAAACCCGAGTTTAGGAGAAGTTGCTCGAAACAACTTGTATACATTTCATGCTTTTTAATTTAATGATTTTTTAATTTAACTACAAAATAATATAGACACACAATAATTTTAGGTTTTATACAATAATATTAAAATTTGATAAATTAAATTGAAAAAATTAAGATAAATTTGAGTAATTTAAATTAAATTAAAAATATAATTAAAATTTAATATATCTTTAATTATTTAATATTTTATGTGCCATTTAATTTTATTTTATATTTTGATGGAAGAGCGAAAATGTATAAATTATAAATTATATAAATAATAATAATTTATTAAAATTGGAATATATATTATAATATTATTATTTATATGATTATTTATTATGATGATGATAAAATGAACATTTATGTTATTTATTTAAATGTGGTTGATATATTTCAATTTAAACATGTGTGATGATAGGTTCTTTTTATCGTACATATTTTACTGTTCAATCTAAAATAAAATTTGTATTAATACAAGGAGATCAACTATTTTCAATTCATCCGGATAATCTTTATAAATTTTATCTAACCTCTATATTATATCAATATGCACGAAATACTAAAAAAGAACTTATAAATAAGGTAGTAAAAGATTTTAAAATCTATTATCATTCATTCAATTTGTTTATATACCTTTGTATTAAATATTTAATAGTTCTTAAACACTAAATTCATTATTTTCTTAATTATATCATTGAATAAGACAAATATCAACTCATCCTTTATTTTCTTCAAACAAAAACATTCTCTTTTAAATATTTAAATATGATATTTATTTTCATGTCACGTTCGAGGAACAACTATTTTATTCTTTCATATATGATACATATTTGTAAGACTTGTTTTTCTTTTAAAACAAAGTTTATTTATATATTTTTCTTTTTCTTAGGTTATTTTTTCAATAGATTTTGATTTAATTAATAAGTAGTATGTCAAAACTCAATCTCATAATATATAATTTAGGAAAAAATTTAAATGATAATAAATATAAAAATTAACGACAAAAGTAATAAAAGTTAAAGTTAAAATATATTATTTATATTAATTATTTATCTTTTTAACTAAAATTATTAAATTTTTTATTGAAGTTTGAGATTAAATGTTGAATACAATATGCAACCCATATCACCTAACTTCTTTACACGATAATGTTCTTCTATGATTGTTGATTTATTTTTATTTGTTATCATGCACAAATTTTATTGATTTGTAATATGTTATTTCAATAATTAGAAAAACCAAGTCAAAGTGTCATTTGTTTCACTTTCGTAAATTATGATAAAAAATTAGATAAAAATATATTGATTAGAATAGACGATAACATGACCATAAAAATATAATATTTCATAATAATAAATAATAATATATTCAATAATTAAAATTATATCTACGTATCCTTATACGTAACTACACATAATTTAAAAATTAAAGATTCTAATAGTAATTAGAAAAAAAACTAATATTAATTTTCTTTTTAAGAAATTCTCCCTTCAAAGAAATTGCAATGTTTTAATAGGTAATAAAATAAATCTTTATCAATTTAAATTATAAAAAGAAAAAATATTTATCTTTTCTGATCAATATTTAAAGTGCACCTTTTCCTTTATGATTATCTTCTTGTCAAATCTTTCTTAAACTTTTTCATCTTAATTATATAAAATATCTTATTTACTTATCTTATAAACTACACTTATATCTTAAATCATATGCAAGTTCAACCGGAAACATTATTTTTGTTTTATTCAAATTTTATATTAAATTAAAATTGAAATAATTGAATCAGATTTGCTATTTTATGTTTTTTTTTCTCTAAACATCGAAACCACATCGAATTACGGATGCTACTAAAATTATATATCTATTCTCAATTAATATAAAAATTAAAATTAAAGATAAGGAATAAAAAAATGTGTATGGAAAAAAATGAAAATTTTTAACCTATAGATCATTTAAACTCAGGAAGATTTCTAATAAAAAATATTAAATTGTTTATGAAAAAGATATTATTTTAATATAGATTTTACATATAAAATTATTTAAATAAGTAAGAATTATTTATATAAATAAATTTAATATCTTTAAAATAACTATAACTTGATTTATATTAACATTATATATATATATATATATATACATATTTTATTTTATTTTTTATATGGGAGGTGTAGTTGAAAATGCTTCCATTCCCCTGCTATCAATATGCAGGTTGAAACTAGGAAATTTCTAAACGTTTGACTGAGACTGTGAATCAACCCAAGATGTTGAATGCCTTTAAATAATTATAGTGTAATAATATTTCGCTTTTAAAATAAATTATTTTATTTTGACATTATAAAAAAAAATTAATCTCTGAATTTAATTTGATCATTTGAATGTTCTTTTATTTATTGTGAGGGAATAAATAATATACACTTCTTGGACCACACTATCTTTTCCTACAACGAACCATCAAGGTTCTTCGCGGTTGTCCTTATGTTATATTATATTATATATATGGTGGTGGTCACATGGTAACTTGCACACATCACAAAACCAACCCTTGTCTTTAGTACTTCACTCTTTTCCTTCTCTTTTCCTTGCTTCCTCATTTCCTGAGGATGTGTTGTTTTCCGAAGTTGGCCTTTGTTTCGGGATTTCCGGCATAATTAAGAGAAAAAAGGTCCAATCTTTGCTTCTGGGGTGTCAGATTTTTGTGCAGATTTTTAGCAGAGAAGTCGGCAAGCTTTCTCTCTGGTGAGCCTCTAAAAGGGTTTTGGCTTTTGTTGTGAATTTTTGTTGAGCATTTATTGTTTATTGTACTGCTGGGTGGTTTTAGTACTTCGGTGGGACCCCTCCGCTGTGTTGTGAGTTTTATGTCCGTGGGTTGGGAATGTTGGTGTATGGAATGATGTTTTGGAGAAGGGTTCTACTGTTCTAGTTTGATTTGGGTTCTGTTTTCCCTTGAAAATATAGAGTGATAGACGGGTTTGAAGAATGTATTGGCAGATTGAATATACATTGGTTTGTGTGATTCTGATGTTTGTGTTTTCTAGAAAGCACTTGAAATTGTGTTGACGTAGAATTTGATGTGGAGTAGGTTCATTGGTTTTTCATCTGTCTTTATTGTTTGTGAGCACTGAGAAGCAATGGAAGGGAATTTGTCTCAAGGAGGTATGGTTCAAGGTGAAAGTTCTTTTGGTGGTTTTGATTTGCCTGGATCAATGCGGGTTCATCGGCAAGGACATCATCCTCATTCCATGAATCAGCATCAAACTCATCCTTGTCAAGGGCCTTCAGGTCATTCCTCAGTTCCTGATAGTTTTCCTCTTACAATGGGAACCATGCAGAACTGCGACCAGACAATGTCAATGACTGAGTTTAGTCAAGGAGATAGAAACAAGAACTCACCAAGTGATGAAAGTTTTGCTGAGGAAGGGGTTGAGGGTCATCATGAAGGAGCTAGAGGGAGAAAGGGATTGCCTTGGCAGCGGGTGAAGTGGACTGATAAGATGGTGAGGCTTCTGATAACGGCTGTTTCTTACATAGGTGAGGATGCAGCATCTGACTGTGGAGGCGGAAGGAGAAAATTTACAGTCCTACAGAAAAAGGGGAAGTGGAAATCGGTTTCCAAAGTCATGTCTGAAAGAGGTTATCGAGTTTCACCTCAGCAATGTGAGGATAAATTTAATGATCTTAATAAAAGGTACAAAAAACTTAATGATATGCTAGGCAGGGGAACTTCTTGTGAGGTTGTTGAAAATCCTTCTTTATTGGATGTGATAGATTATCTTTCTGAGAAAGAAAAAGATGAGGTTCGAAAAATATTGAGCTCAAAACACCTCTTCTATGAAGAGATGTGTTCTTACCATAATGGTAACCGGTTGCATTTACCCCATGATCCGGCATTGCAACGATCACTGCAGTTGGCTCTCAGAAGTAGAGATGATCATGACAATGATGATATCAGAAGGTCCCATCATGATGATCATGATGAAGACGATCTAGAAATGGAAACTGATGATCATGATGACTTTGAGGAGAATTATGCTTCCCATGCAGATAGTAGAGGAGTCTATGGGGAGGCAGGGCGACCTTTGAAGAGATTGAAGCCAGGGCAAGGACAAGAAGAAGCTGCTACTTTTGGTTGTGCTTTAAACAGCCAAGGGTACAACAAAAGTTCATATCCTCATATGGTTCAATCTGATGTTAATCAAGCTGCACCCGAAAAAATGAGGGCAGCTTGGCTAAAGAAGCAATGGGTTGAATCTCGTTCACTTCAGTTAGAAGAGCAGAAGCTACAAATTCAGGTTGAGATGTTGGAGCTAGAGAAACAAAGATTCAAGTGGCAGATGTTTAGTAGGAAAAAAGACAGGGAGTTGGAAAAGTTGAAGCTGGAGAATGAAAGAATGAAGCTTGAAAATGAACGTATTGCTTTAGAACTAAAGCGGAAGGGAAAGGGAGCAAGTGCTGGCTTTAACTAGGTTGGTCGTCTTGCATGCTTTTTTGCAAAGACATTATTAGATGCATGATGCTCCTCTTTTTCCCAGCTGTCTTTGATGAGATGTGTTTCTTTAGTTGAAAGTATGCATTTTTTATGGGGAAACTTAGGAAAGAACGAAACCCCCTAGTGCTGTTTAGATTTGAGAATATGAAAAATCCAGTGGATGATTCACAGAGATTTACTGATTGTTAGGCTTTACTGAATCTCTGTTGTCTATATTTATATACTGGGTGGCTAATGCCTAGTCAATTGGTTAAAAGTAGCATAGCATTATGATATGAGTTCAATTTGCATGGACTAAAAATGTAAAAGCTCATATCACTATGCTGGTATCCCATCATTTTGATCTAGGCCATTTTTCTGGGATAAACTGCTGGCTAATGCTAAAGACAATGAGTTCCTGAAGCAAATGCCTTGTCAATTCCTCAAATCGCATGTTCTTAAACGCGAAATTATTGAGACCCAAACCCCCTTTTTAGAACAGAAAAAGCAGGTGCAACACCCTTCTTTCTTAGTGGAGAGGAATGGTCAATATCATCCTGAATAAGAGTAATCTGACCATCCCCATTAAGCAATTTTATTATGTCATTTTTTAGTATTTTTACTTTATAACTACAACAACAATTACCGCCATATCCCACTTGGTGAGGTAGGTTAAAGGGATCACCTGACACCATTGACCTTGGTTAAAGTTCAAATCCTCATGAGACCCCTCTTAACAGCTTTCTTCCATGTCCTTATCTTTGTTCCCCTATTCATAGTATTAAAAACCATGTAATACTCTCTCTTAACTATTACTTTCAATGGCCTTCTTTTTCTGTTTTGTTCTCAATCGATGTCAGACCAATATCTCCTTCTAGTGCATTTTGCATCACATTCTTTTTGTGTAGTCACATATCTATCTTAACACTCCATTTCTGCCACTCTCACCTTTATCTCCTTTTGTTCCTTTAAAGCTTAACATTTACTACCATAGAGTATAGTGAAACATATAATAGTGCAGAAAATTTCCTTTGAGCTCGCTATGTACTTTGTTATCACTGATAGCCCCAACTGACTTTCTCCTTATTAACCATTCAACTATTATCTTGTGTGTGAAATTCTCGTTAAATTTCTGATCATTTTGTGTGTGAAAGTGTCATTAATTTTTTTTCATCTTTTTGTAATATTGATCATAGATATTTGAACTTAGAAACCTGCGGTGTGAAATATGTTTCCCATTTTTCTCTTTTAAGTATCTTACTTTCTTATTTCTTACTAAATTTGCAATTATATGTGGTCCTTCCTCTAGTTAAGCAAAACCCCTTTGATTCCAAAATCCTTCTACTTAAGGACTAAGTTGTCGGAGGACTAAGCTTTGTAGCATTGTGCATTATGTGCTGATCCTTTTGGTCTGTTTGGAGGGAAATGCTCAGATTTAAGGGGTAATTCCATCCTAGGACCAATTGTGAAAAACAAAACTGTCTCCATGGCCTATCTTAACTCTTATTCTCTTCTAGCCTATTGTTGTTTAGCATTTTATTTTTGTTTGAAAAAATCTTGGTATATATGCATAGAGATCGTAAAGGTCTTGTCTGTATTGGAATGGGAATGGGAATGGGTTTTCCCTTTTGAGTTACTGGCTTTCTTCCTTTGTTTTAAGGAATCCATCATCCATTTCTCTAAGTGTTTTTGTGATGAGGTTATTATTGTGTAAAGAAATTAAATTGAGATCTTCAGAGTTACTACTGCACTGTGTCTGGCCGTGTTAATATTTTGGGCTGAGTTCCTTAAGGCTAAATCTTGAAGATGGCTGGTTTATGAACTCACTTTACTGGATTATTTTCTATAATAAGTATCTCTTTTGCTACCATTCTCCATAAGCATTTTTGAGATATTAAGATAAGAAAAATTGAAATTAGTTTCACCGTAAGTTAAAATTAGCTTATGCATAAACTCATCTGTAGAAGTTCTCTAATTATTTGAAACTTGAACATAAGTTAATTTGAGCTTATGAAAGATATTATTTCATTTTTTCTTCTTATTTTCTTCTTTAGATAAGCTTAAGGAGAAGTTCACCTAGACAAATCCTATGCAGAAAAACCTAACCTTTGTTCACTTTTATACATGGTAGTTAGAATCGCACCAATCTTATGATTCAAATTGCGGTTCGTTGCAAAAATCTTATTTTACGATACAATTTATTGAATGTATCGTTTTATATTCTGAATCCGATGAAATTGTACTTGAATAGTGGAATTTACTATTCAACTTTATCGCGTACGAATCTCGAATGTGTGCTTTTAGTAAAACAAAGAAGCAATGGGTAAGTGAAAGAAACGAAGTGAATGAGTGAAAACACACAAAAAAAATGGAAAAGGGTGCAACGCAGCAATGAGAAGAAAAACACAGTGGTGAGAGTGTGTAGTGTAGAAGACGAAAGGTGAGAGTGTATAGTGTAGAAGAAGAAAGGTGAGAGTGCGTAGTTTAGAATAAGAAATTGCTTTTTCTGATTGAAATTGAACATGACTTTTACTTTTTCTGATTTCTGTTTATGACCTTGTACTGTAAATTTTTTTTTTTTTTTTTTTTCTGATTACTGACATTGCAATGTATAAAGTGCATTGATACTGCATCCCTTTTTTAATCCTCTGACACATGCCATTAAATTGTACCCATGATCCATTGCATGCATGCTGCACCCTTTTTTTTTTGTTTATCTTAACATTCAATTTGTTATTTTTTTTTATTTTAATTTTTTAAATCCCCTGACTCAAGCCATTAAAGTGAACCATGATGAAAGAAAGCATAAGATTAAGATATAGGATTTAAGTGACATTTATTATTATGTTTTGGTTTTATGGATTGAATATTTTGACTTTATTTTAATATGTGATCCTTTTAATGTTTTTTTATCACTTATTTTTACTTAAAAATATCATATTTTATTTATCATGGAGCTTATTGTTCATATTAAGATTCAATCCACGTCGAATTTGGATTTGATAACAATGCTTCTGAATAGTCCTTTTGTGTAGTTGGTCCATTATTCAAGTGAGCAAGCATACTCTTAACCAATGTTTTACATCCTGGATATTGGTTGATTCCAAAAAGCTATAGTGAGAAAATGTATTCTGGGATTAGCTAGTGCTTAGTTTAAAAGTTAGCTACTGCTATTGTCATTACATTACAATTTATAGTCAACCTTAATAATGTTAATAGCTAGTGATTACGCTAAGAGTTAGCTACTGATGTTAGCCTTTACGTTAGCTTCTAATTACTTCCTAATTATTCTCTTGGTTACTCCATTGATTGATTGCAATTGAGCAACAAATCAAATGTGCAGCCTAGACGCACGATTTCTCTACATAGTTCTACCTTATGCTGAGATTTGACTTTTATTCATAATAACGGTGGTAGCAACTAACTCGTGATCACTTCATCATAGAAACTTTCATACATGTCATGAACTAACTCAGAAGCTTAAGAAACAAAGCTCTCAACTTTTAGCAAGTAAACAAAGCCAAACAGGTACGCATGCAGCCCAACCTACCCAAACATACCCTAGGCACAGCAACCAAAGTAGACCTAAGATGAGCCTAGCAGAATAAATAGTGAATACATGTCCAAAGAGCAGCAGGTCCATATAGAGGATAAGCCTTCTTAGGTATACAGCTAAACAGCTTCCATTACTGAACTAAGGTGGAGAGGGTTGATTAAGACCCCTTAATAGTCTTGTTGGTAGAGAGGAGAGACATATAGTAAATGAAAATAGAAAGGGTGGATGAAAATAGATGAGAAATAAAGTAGAAGTTAAAGATGTTTAGTTGAAGATAAATAGAGAAAAAGAGAGAGAGAGAGAGAGAGGAATAAAAATGATAAAATAATTGAATGAAAAGCATCGATGAGTCCCACTTGTTTTAAAAATAAATCCACTATATCTCTCTCATCCACCAAACATACTCCATATTTCCATCTTCTCCCCTCCACCCTATTTCTTACTAACCAAACAAGTCATAAGGGATGTTAACCAAATCTGTTGAAAGCTGTGGCAGAAAAAGGGGTACAATGATAATAAACTAGAAGATGCTCCATCCAAAAGAAGAATACTGCTGGATTTGAGTATGGCAGGATGGATTATTATAAGTAAAAGCACTTTGATTACCCAAAATTAAAGAAAATTACTTTTGGAAAAGTTGTTCCTTAATGTAGGGAGTGGATTACTTTGAGTAATGGTAAATTAATAATATTGGCTTTTTGAGAACCACTAGGCTAGTTACATTTTTTATAGCTAATCACTTCTCAATATTGGGTGAAATTTAATTGTATTTCACTTAATAATAGATTAGACTCTTTAAATAAGGAGTGAGGTCTACATCACTTTGCAAGACTCGCTTAAATTTCAGGCTATAGAGGAGATTATGTTGAAAATGGCGTGAGAGTAAGTTATTTGCCTTCTTATTTTTTGTATTTCTCAAAGAATTATGGTTCCTTTATGGCAAGTAGTATTGGTGATTGACAGATGAAGATATAAACACCGCATTTTGCTTCCTGATTTGGCAACTTTTTTGTAACATAATTTTATTTTTTCCAATTGCCAAGAAAAAGGCAGCATTTAATCCTTCTTCATGAATGAGTGCATTTAAGTCTGGTCTGGTAAATGTCTGTTAATAGCGTTGCATTGTTTAGGTTTCAATCAATTTTTAGTAACTGATAAAACTATTTTAAATTTGGTTTTAAAATGCAATTTAGAGTCAAAATGGATGCCAACATCAGAATTAGAAGCCAACACTGGAGTACTTATATTTCCACTTGATAACTTAGCTTAGTTTCCAAGTCTGTTATCCTACTCCTATTTCTTCTATAAATGCTTGGCTTTTATTCATATTCATGTGGGATGCAGTCGCTGCTATTGGTAATTTCAATTGTCAATGAAATTATTTTTCAGGATAAACTGAGTTTCCTCTGAATGTTTGATAGCAATTGCAATGGCTACCTCGC